TAATAAAAATATTAAAAATTTACGTGGGAATAACAATTTTGTCGAGCCTTCAGCACGCTCAAAAACTCAAAAGTCAAAACCCGAAGGAAACTTTAAACACTTCTGCTCTAAAATAATTAAGTTCAGTCTGTAGCAACCAAATCCAACACGGTTTCATTCGAACCTTTCTATTTTGACTTTTTTTTTTTATTAAATTTTTTTTTATGAATCATCTGATTTTTTAAAATTTATCGGATCATTGATTAATTTAAATTTAAATTGGATAAAATCCAATAAACAACCAAATTTATTAAATTTTTTAATATTTAATAACCATATTAAATTTTATTTAACATGTAATAAAATCACATTAAATTTTATAAAAAAAAATTTCTAACATAAGGTTGGAAATAAAAATCGAATTCTTTCGGACTAACAGGTCACCATTCTATTCTGTCAACTTTCTGCATACCATTACCAAGTCAAAATAAAACCTCACACCCTTAACAAACCTTAAAAAAACCACATAGACCCAAAACATTTCCAAAAGCCTCTCTTTGCCTTTCCCTGTTCTTCCTTCTCTTCCTCCTCCTCCTCCTCCTCCTCCTCCTCGGTTGCGGGACATGATGGCCACCACTATCAACCAGTCTGATCAGATTAAGCAACTGCAGGACATTTTCAAGCGTTTCGACCTGGACGCCGACGGTAGCCTAACCCAGCTCGAGCTCGCCGCCCTCCTCAGATCCTTGGGGCTCAAGCCCACCGGCGACCAGCTTCAGATTATGTTAGCAAACATGGACTCAAATGGAAATGGGTCCATTGAATTCGACGAATTGGTCAACGCCATTCTCCCCGACATAAGCGAGCAGGTCTTGGTCAATCAGGAGCAGTTAATGGAGGTTTTCCGGTCCTTCGATCGGGACGGAAATGGGTATATCACCGCCGCTGAGCTGGCAGGGTCCATGGCCAAAATGGGGCATCCGTTGACGTACCGGGAGCTTACCGAGATGATGAGGGAGGCCGACAGTAATGGCGACGGCGTGATCAGTTTCAACGAATTCACGACGATCATGGCGAAATCCGCCGCCGAATTTCTTGGCCTCAGTGTTGCATAAAATTACTGGTGCGTGGAAATCCGCCGCGAATCCGACTAGTAATTTTTTAGTTTCTTTTAATAATGTTATTTTCTTTTTGTGTGTTTTGAGGGTAATGGATTTGGTAGGAAATCAGTGTACATGATTTGAAGGAGAAGGAACAACTTGTCTTGTATTATAAAGAAAAACGTGAATATGACTCAGTTGCATGATGTATTTTCTGCTTTGATCTACCTCACAACACCAATGTTAATGTCAAGATTTGTATACTGTGTTTTGTCACAAGTTATTGTCTAAAATTTTGACCAAACAAATAATCAGTTTCTATTGGTAGTAGCTTGATAGCGATATCGTTTGAAATTTCTTCCATTGAGACTTGGAAGAGAAGTACTAAACTTTATGAAAGGCTAGAAGAGCAACTCAAAAAGAACAACACCATTGTTATACACTCAATAAAAATTGGGGCTATATTATTTTCTCTGTGAAAAAGCAGCACTGCTAACCCAAAGGGAGCATCACTAACCGAATCTACAATGAATAATCTATGTTATGTACTAAGTACAGTTTCTCAATCAAAAGGATTATACATGATGCAACTACAACAAGAGGGTGTAGCCCCAGATCACCAGGGATCATGATTTACAACAATATGCGAACAATGATTCTCAATTCTATACATCATCTTCCTCGGATCAAAATCACGAGGTCTATATCTCGGACAGCCCCTGTATCATCCAGCCATGTTGGTAGATGAAGTGTTCCAGTATTGGCTCAAGGTTCTCAATCTATAATTACCTGGAAAGACATCAGCTGTGTTAGTGATGTTGGCGACCTGAACTTGCTACCACACGTGCTGTATGACCCACAGTTGTTGGCCGGATTGATCTCTGCCGCACGATTGCACAAAACTCAGGGTCATTTGATTGACCATCCTCCCTTATCCACTGTATCATTCCATGATACATAGGGAAGAACCGCATCTGGATTGCTGAGAAGAAGAAATATGGTATTACTGTTGTGAATGACACAAATAATGTGACGAGCCAGTAAGAAGGAGCCGGGGCAAGTGCTTCAACAAAGACTTTGTAAGCATCTGTGGAAGTCTGGGGAGACATGGCACCATACACCACTTGAAATAGATACCAGATAGCAATTGAACCCCAAATGACTATATGTTGAATTACAGTGAAGTAGCTGATCGTTAGTGCCATCTGCAAGTTAACAACGCAGACAATGCATGCATACATTGTCCCCCCAAGGATTTCTTTACTAACGGTTTTCCCATCACTAGTGAAGGCCTGGTGCTCCAGTGCTTTAGAGCAGAGAAAGAAAATGATTATGGAACTATATAACCCATTAAACATCCATCCAAATATCCGGCGCCAACTAAAAAGGACATTCTGTACCCCTTCTTGGTATAACAAAGGAAACTGCCACAAACAATAGGGGAGCAGTATGAGAAATTGCTAAAAACCTTAGATCATGATTACTAAAGCCGACAAATGTTATTCATGACTGAGAATGTAAGAATACCTTGAGACAAAACCGTGCAGATACATCCTGATCGAAAACACCCAGTGCAATAACAGGAAGTGATGAGAAGAAGACATTAAAAAGTGCCAAATACCAGTCATTGTATGCAGGTTCTCCAGAGAATGATGCATATGCTTCATATAAAAATAGAGAGAAGCCAAATACAATGTTCTTGTAGAAAAAGTAGCATATCTGCAAAACAAAAATAAACCAATCAATCAAGCAATTAAGTAATGTTCTTAAGCTTTGCAAGTCACGATGTTTCACTAGGTGACTGCTGTTGAAAAATGAAAACATATTATTGTCATTACCATTGTTGAGATCCTCCTATAACACCAATGTCCATGGACAAGTAGCAAGCGCTCCAAATATCGAAATTGAGCAATTGCTATATCACTTGACATCACTGCCTGAATTGAAATTTCAAAGAGTTTGTCAGCAATAAGAATGAGCAAAGAGGGAGACTTCATTTCTTTAGCAACTAAAGATAATCCATAAAGTACCTGCATTCCTTCAACTCCACTGATTCCAATGCCAATATCTGCTTCTTGAAGCATTCCAACATCATTAGCACCATCTCCAATTGCTAATGTTGTTCTCCCAGTTTCACTTTTAACAAGTCTGGTCACCTGAGTTTTAACACAAGTATTTAAGCAATGGATAACAATTAAAGAGAAGGAGAAAGGAATAATAGACCTGGAATCAGCTTATAAAATCAGTAAAAGGAAATAAACCTACCAGTGCCTTCTGTTTTGGTGAAGAACGGCAACAAATGACAGATGCACAACCCATTGCAAGCTCTATAAACATTTTCTTCATGTCATCCTCTAGAGCATAAACGAGTGATTTCCCATCAATGATTAAAGCAAATGCCCCATCGCTTGCACTTAATGCAGTGAGCTGAGCTTTTCCATCAGTTAACTGATTTCCGACACTTTCTTTTGATGCCTAAAAGAGGATTAACACATGCATTAAAACAATATATCTCCAATCCTTTCATCATTCAACCCCACACCACCTAAATATGGCCAAGAAGGAAAGAAGGAATGTAGTATCATATAAGGAAATCCCTTCCACTTAGAAAAGAATCTCATCAAATATTTTGCAATGAAAACAGAAGATAGGGAAAATAAAACCACTTTCTCAAGTCATTAAACTGATATGTTGGAAGATAAGTCAGGGTTTAGAAAGAGTGTTGCTAGGGTAACTAACTAAAAGCAGGAAATGAATATTCTGCTACGTGTTCCTCAAGGAGAAAGGTTTCGTCCATCCCTTTCCTTATTTATCTTCTCTCTACTTTCTCCCCACAAGATAAAATTTTTAATTTTTTCTAACATGTTTCCAACTGTGGAATGAATCTTGACATCAACTCTCGTGGAGTTAGAAAGGAATCTAAATCAAAGCCATCTAAACTCAAGTTTCTAAATATTGAAGAGAAAATTTAATAGTCTAAACTCATTTACCTTAGTGATGGCAGCCTTTTCACCAATTTTCTCTAATGATTGGATTTCAGGAGTATCTAGATTGATTATGATCTGCTTCATACCTTGCCTAAGCAAACTACAAGCATAGCTGCAAATTTATAAATTCATGTCAGAGAACTTGAGGGGTATACCAAAGGTACTCTCACCTGAAAGCAGTAAAAAAGTTCATACCCAATATTAATGGCAGTCTCCATTTTATCTCCAGTCAAAACCCAAAGCTTGATTCCTGCTTGTGCTAGCTTATCAATGCAATCAGGAACCTAGGTGGTAGAGAAGAAAAAAAATCTGGTAAGTCCCTTACAGATCTCTAAAGAGATTAATTAATTCATCTAATAAACCACAGTATTTTCCAACTCACCCCATTTTGGAGCTTGTCCTCAACAGCAGTAGCACCAAGGAGGATCAGATCCCTCTCAATCTTCTCAGCAACTTCATCTATTAATGTGTCACGATCTGCACTAACTAAATTTTTGGCCTCCAAAAATTTCTGGTTGAATTCATTATATTCTTCTTCACTCAACTCACGATATGCAAGTACTAGTGTCCTGAGGCCCGCATCAGCATACTCATTCAAGTGCTCCATGGTATCCTCTTCAAACTCTCCACCTTTCTTGGCAAGCCTTTCAAACATGACACTGCACAGGAAGAAGTATTATGATGATCTCATAATGGACTGAAGAGAGAAATAAGGTGTTTTTGATGTGTGAAAGATCTCAGTTTAATTTATCACATACCTGTCAGCACCTTTAGAAAGGATTATAAGTTTGCCCTCCTCATCTCTTACGATTACTGACATCCGTTTCCTGGTGCTGTTAAATTCTAGAACATTCAAAAGTTGATACAACCTGCAAAATGAAAACTATTTATTCAAACATATTTACATGGAACTGGTTGTCAAGATGATATGACATGCTTAACATGACAATTTCTGTAACAGTATAAATCTATCAGTTAAGTCATGAGAAGAGATACTGACCTCTCAACTTTCTTGCCAGACACTGGATCCTGCTCTCTTATTGAGATGCTTGTTTGTGTCCTTTTGTAGAATTCAAAGCCGACTTCTCTTGCTGCAATCACAAATGCTGCTTCATCCGGTGATTCAGCCTCATAAGAAACATTCCCTGTATCTTCATCAACTTCAGGAATTGCTGTATGACAAACTGCCAACAGTCGGAAGAACTTCCGTATGACATCTGCTTGAGGCTCACTAATCCAGTTTCCATTCATGACCCTTTCATCCTTAAAGTTAAAGCCTTTAACTGTTGACTTTGCATCAGCAGAATCCTCAGTGTTGCTCACACCATTTACTTCTCCATTACCCAAAGGTGAACCTTTCCTTCTACCAATGGCCCTCTCAACCTCTGTCACACCACGACCATAAGCTGTCCCAGCAATGGTACACTTGATGAACTCCATTGAGTTGCAGGTCAAAGTTCCAGTCTTATCAGACAGTATTGTGTCAACCTGGCCCAGCTCTTCATTCAAATTAGATGTACGTGCATGCGCCGGCTTGTCAGACTCCTCATGGTACATCTGAAGATCTTGATTGATGAAAATGCTCTGAAGAACTTTGACAATTTCTATTGACACATACAAGGAAATAGGGATCAAATAACTATACAGTAGTACAGCCGTAAGGAAGTGATAGATTGCTGCAACAGGTGCTCTTTTAGGGTCAAAGAAGATCTCAGAACTATCTGGTCTAAGATACCACCTCTTCATCCTTCCATTTTCCAGGTCATTTTTAGTTGAAATGCCAAAGAAGATAGAACCAACAAATGAGATTGTAAATAGTGCACAAAACAAGAAGTAGATGATATGATCCATCTTCCTCTCAATTCGGCTTCTCTTTGAAGGGGGATTAGTAGAATTCTGAATCACCTTTGTGTCATGACCAGTGAAGATAACAGCACCATAAATGTGCTCAGTATTTCGGAGTTTTGAGTCTCTGAGGAGAAGTTGTTGAGGAGAAAGGGGGTGTTGTTGCTCTTCAAGCTCCATAGTTCCAATAAACGAGTACAGATTTGCATTTGGGTCTTCACATTTAATGGTAGCTCTAAAGTTCGAGAAGTCTGAGTCTTCATCCAAGGATGAAGTTACTTCTAGAGCTTGTTTGAGTTTCAGATTTGTTTCACCATCAAGATTCATGGTCTCAACATAGCAGATTGCATCATCATAACTGGATGAAAGCAAGAGCAGGTCTGCAGGAAAGAATTCATCCTTATGCACCTTCACTATATCTCCCACTCTTAGATTCTTCCATTCAGTATAATCAAAATTCCCATCGTGCTGATGTACTTTGACCTTTCTATTATTCACCTCAATATCCTGGAAAGTTCCACATTTTCCACATCAAATTATAAACCCAGGACATGAAGCAGCAAACAAGTAATTAGAATTTAGCATTTAATACCATTAAACCATCTTCATAAGCTGTATTATTTATTTGAAATAGCCGGTGCTAAAACCATACCGTCCCATATTGCAGCTTAAAGATAAAGAAAAACAAATGGCCAAAAAACTAGCCAAACTGAGGACAACAAAAAAGGGAAAAATACAGGCAAAATGGAAAGCAAATGAAATCTTACCTGCTGTTTTCGCCGCCAATCTTCGATCCCCTCTTTCATCATCGTTGCACCAATAACAATTACTAGGGGGACAACAGAACTGCTGGCGGAATATGGAGAAAGAGCAGTGTAGGACAAAATTGCAGTAACCAGAAAGAAAAAATTTGCCACTCTCCTAAACTGCTCAAACAAGGATTTGGGCAAGAAAGAAGCGAAAGTATACTTTGTAGTCCTAACATAATTGTTGCTGTATTTGCGGATTCCGGCCTCAAAGCTGCCCGGTTCATTGCAGAAAACTACCCTGGAAAATCCAGGCTGCCCAATCTGTGAATGATCATCCCTAAATGATGCTCTCCCACATGTAAATGGATAGATCTTGCTAAGAAGCAGCTTTCTTCTTCTTCCACCAGCCATCCCTTGCAAAGGAGGTCACCCCAAAAAAAATTTTCTCTTTGACACAGAATATCTTTCCCTGGTGAATGCGGTATAAACCCAGAAGAAAAAATCACCCAGTACACAAAAGCTCCAAAATTTGAACAAAATGGCAGCTAGAAACAACTAAAGCTGTGATTTTGTAGAGAAAAATTCACTCAAGAAATGCCATTTTTTCCCAGGAGAAGACCGGAACACAGACTCAGAACCCATAAAACTCCATGATTGAATGGAAGAAGAAGAGAAAATAAGAACGAAAAAACCCAAAATCCCAGTTCTAGGCCAAGCAACAGCCTAAAAACTCAGATGATTTTTAACTAAACAAACAAATTCCAAAAATTAAAAGAACAGAAAGAAAAGGAAAATTCAAAAAGCAACAGCCTTTTTTAATCATAAAATGCCCAAGCAGGGAAATTAAGAGCACAGCATACAGATTCTGACAAGGGAACCGACACTTAATATAAATGTGTAATCTCCGTCGTAAAACTGAAACTTTGCAGAAAAAAGACCAATCTTTTACACGGTTTCCGTAAGAATCAAAAACAAGAAGAAACAAACTTTCGTTCTAATACCCAGGAAAAGAAAAATCCACGCTTTGAAATAATCAAATATATTAAATCTCTTTTGTGTTATACCAATTCGGGCAGCTTAAAACAGGGCCCTGTTTGCGTCTGGATCTCACATTTTGACTTGGACGAGTCTTTGTTTTGCTACGCGCACTCTCCCAATCAGGCAACCAAGAAAGTACCATGGAAATTTGTCAAAATTGAGCTGCCGCGTTAAAATCAGGAAAATGTTTTGACAATGTGAAGGGAGAGATAAAAAAATTAAAATTCCTTCCATTCGTTTTTGTAAGTGTGGATTTGAATATTAAAAATAGGAGAAAGAACAGAGATTACGGAATTAATTGGGATTTTAGTGGGAAATGGAGGTAGTAATGAAAATTCCGCGGGAAAAAATTGCAAAAAACAAAAAAAAAAAGTCTTACAAATGAAATCCTATCCTAATTGGGTAAAATTCCCATCCACACCAAATGATGACCTTTCCTTTTTCTGTTTTCTTTTTTTTTTTTCTTTGCATTTGAGTTTTCATATAAGAAAATACAAATTTTTAAATTATCTGAAGTTTGGGTCAGATTGTGATATGATACTGACGAATCAAACTTAATAATGGCAATGGTACTCGGGGAAGACCGTAGACTTATAAAATAATTAATTAAATTATTAGTAAAAACACCCTCCTGAATTCTCTTTTTTTTTTATTTTTTCGCCTAAAAATTTTAATTAGTTGATCGTGTAAAAAAGGAAACGAGAGTTGGGGGTAATATTGCACCATTTCCACAAATCAAGAAATGCGCCGTCTTGTCTGGAACGGGGCACCATGCGATGCTGTATTTTTGTGGTCAGGTGAAGTAAATCCAACTAGTACTGCACTCAATCCATGTCTTTGGTACTGTTTTCCGTTTTTCCTTTTTAAACTAAAAAAATTTTATTTTATTGTTTAAATTATTATTAAAAATAGTATCTATTCATTTTATTTTTAAAAAATTAAAAAAAATTTAAAATTATATCATTTTAATAAATTTTTATTAAGAAATTAAAATATTTTATTTTTAAAATATAAATTAAAAAATTGTTTTTTTGTTATACTTTATTAAAATAATATAATTTTAAAATAATTTTTTTTATAACCTTTAAAAGATAAGGTAAGTAAATATTAATTATATTATTATTATATCAAATTATAATATAAAAATTATTAAATAAAAAAATTCTTAATAATAATGATTTAATTTTAATTTAATAATTAATATTATATAATTTCATATAATTTAAATTATATAATATTTTTTTTAAAAAAATTATCTCAATAATTTTTTTTAATTTTTTTTCTTTGTTGCTGGAGTTTAATTCTTTATAAAAAAAATATAATGATAATAAAAAATTCATCATATATGATTTTTTTAATAAATCTAAATTTTAAAATATTAAAGATTAAAATCAATATCAAACTAATAGAAGTACATCTTTTAAAACTGACTTTAGTCAGTTGGCCGACAAGGGCAGATGCAATCCGTATACGTAGGGTTTACCTGTCCACGAGAGGCATAGTTAGCCATGTCATTGGTCACATGATAAACATGCCATTTGAGGCCGGCATAGGCTGCAGCCCTAATCTCAATTAGGGTGGGGCGTATCCCCTCACCCCAGATAAAAAATAATTAAGCGAACAAGAAATTGACTTCCTCTTCTACAAACATCATTTGGTAGGTCTAACGATTAAAAGAAAAAGTTGAAATTTTTAAAATAAGTTTTTAAATTTGATTTTTGTGTGATAGAAAAATAAATATTGCATCTAACCCTTAAGATCAAATGATTTCTGACTACATAAGATGCATTCTTTCTCTCCGATCAGGTCAGGGTTCAAAACCCACCCCATGTAATACTGTTTAAAAAAAAATTAATAGAGTTTTTTTTTTAAATGAAGTTTGATGCAACTGAATTAGAGATTAATAAAAAAAGTAAGCCTGATAATTATAGAAGATGAGATGAAAAAGGAAAAATAACCCCAAAAATAGAAACGAAATTTAAAAAAAAAAAAAAAATCTCAAAAGCGCCATTTTTCATACGCAGGCAAATCGAGGCAAAAGGATTAAAGGAAAATGATTTAAGATATTTTTTTTATTATTTTTATATAATTTGATATGTTAATTAAATAATTAATTTTTTATTTATTTAAAATTTATGTTATTAAATATATTT